TCTTAACTGTTTCACATTACCCCATGGTCTCAAAACTTCAAGGACCAAATTAAGAAAGTGCTTAAAATATAGATTGAGGTATTAGGAAAGTAAATTACGTTAGTAGCTACATAACACATCCTCTTTGAAAGCCAGATGTTTTCTGGTTGTTCATTTTCAACAAAATCAGAGGATGACTTAATCAAGGTATTTGATGATTATTATAAAATATATTTTTGATTCTAATATATATGAAGAAGAAATTAGAACATTTTAGTAATATTGATGTTAAAAATAATAACACAACCTTCTTTCTTTTCCATCTACTTACTTCTGGGAACAGGGTTTCTCAAGAATAAATCTACAAAACTGAAAATTAGGGCTATAATTCTAATAGTATGTTTGAATTGATACAGTATATAAGCTAGTTTTAAAAAGATAAAACTCCAGTTGTATCATGCAAACATACATTTTTTTATTATCCAGACATGATATTGTATTTTCTATGTTTATCATCATTTTAATATATTTATTCTGTTCTGGTACATTGTATGGCAATAATATTTGTGAATGCTACTCCTTCTAAGAGAACATTTTTAACACTTATAACCATATAGTCATTTAACATTTAAAAAGAAAAAATATTTGAAGTATGTATATACATATGTATATATATAGTTTTCAGTAACAAATTATGATATTACTGATAAAATGTTTTAAAGCACACAATGTATCAAGAGAGTACAATATAGTAAAATAAAATTATGTACAGGAGAAAAGAAAAGTAACTTGAAGAAACAAAAGGGATCGTATAAAATTTTCATTCTTATGAGCTCTTTAGGTTTTTAGTAGAAGATGGGCATTAAATTGCTATATCATTTTAATTTCATTTGATGCATTCAAATGAGCATCATCTGTCAATACCTACAATGTACTGTAATTTAAATCTTTTAAAATATTTAAATTTTGACAAAGAGGATTTTATAGTTTTTCAAACTCTACATATCTAAGGGTGCAAACCAATGAAGTTTGGAAACCACAGTACTAGATAAAATGTTAGTCATGGAACTCAGCGCAGCTCTGAGCCTGCTCCGAGACCGTTCAGTTCCTGCCCATCAAGACTTCTTGGGCCTGACTGAATGGGGGTTTTCCTACAGAAAAAAGGTGTCAGATGTCCCTGACTAAATTTAATACTTATGATTTCCTTTAGGCAATTAATACAGGTTAAAGGGATGTGTTTTTTAGTGAGGCAGAGACTTCTCCATCCTCCAGAAACTCCAACTCTCATGGATTTCAGAATGAGAATTATAGATCTATACTGTGATATATAAGCTTTGGCCTCAACCACAATGGACAAGGAAGAATTCTACATCTTAGCAATTTTTAGACCTGGACAACACTTTCCCTATTGCTACCTGGCAGAAGAAAAAGTTGAGTTGTTTCCAAATAGACATTCAGAATTACAAGATAAGGTTATTATCAAAAATAGTCATATAAAAAAAAGTTCTGGAAAAATGGTACACTTTGGCAATTTCAGTAATTTATTCAGGAATAAAGCATTGTAATTAAAATAATTATATATTAGTAGTACTATTTCTCCCGCCTGCCTCATTTCACATTAACTCATACTAATTTCCTCACCTCCCCCACCAAATAAATATATTTTAAAAAGTGTATTCTTATTGGCTAGAAAGCTTTATAATTCCCAGCTAAAATAAAGTAGTTTGCTGGCTGCTGCAAATACAGTAAATACATGAGATTATATTAAATATATGTGATATTTCACCAAAAACATTTGATTTATGAGTTCCTCTATAATAATAAGGAATCTGGTGAATTTTCTGATCTCAATTGTGTTAGAACCAGTTTACAGGTAAGCATAAAAGTACATGGAATTTATATATCCATGGTAAAAATCTATTTGATGAACATTTTTTTCTTAGAACTTGGCTCTCAAGAAAAAACCTTTAGGTTTATGTTTGAGACATTATTCTACTCATAGCTCTCTGGAGAACATGAGTTACATGTCCCCACTAACCACAAGAGAAAGTAAGAACCTAACACATACCTGGAATATTTCATATATATCACCGATTTCTACAGCTAGTAAACGTATATAGTCATTTTAAAATTTTATCGTCATTTGACTGAATCCCATGTGGACTATGATATCAGAAGGGAAAAATATTATTTTGAAATATAGAATAATATGGCTACTTAAAAATTACTGGAAATAAAACATTTTTTCAAGTTTACTCAAAATAATAATTAGTTATAGTTAAGGAAATGAACAGTTTCAGCAAATCATAAGTGATTTATGCAAGAGAAAAACCTTTTTTTTTCTTTTTTTAAATTGTACTTTAGGTTCTGGGGTATATGTGCAGATCATGCAGGGTTATTGCATAGATACATGCATAACAAGGTGGTTTGCTGCCTCCATTCCCCCTTCATCTATATTCGGCATTTCTCCTGATGTTATCTCTCCCCACCCCCCGCTGTCCCTCCCTAGCCCCGCCAACCGACCCCAGTGAGTGATGCTCCTCTCCCTGAGTCCACGTATTCTCATTGTTCAACACCCACCTATGAGTGCGAACATGCGGTGTTTGGTTTTCTGTTTTTGTGTCAATTTTTAAAAAATAATCATTGAGTGCTTTAAAAACAAAAGGATGGAGGCATGTCAAGGGACATGAGAGACAACCTGAAGTAAAGGACCTACCAATGATTAAAGCTGGGACAATATGAAAAACAAACTAAATTATGCAATATTAAATTATAAACTAGAGTGTAAATATATATGAGTCTATACTCTTATAAATAAATGACTGAAAAGCAAATAATCGAAGAAATAGAGGCCAGCCATTGTAAAAGAAATCTATTTAATATATGTAGGTACTCTCTCTTCTAAGGAGCCAAGCTTAATTTCACCAATTCTTACATTCCTGTTGAGGGTATACTAGTTTTCATAAAGAATAGAGTATGGGAAGGGGAAAATAGTAACTTTACAGTAGATAAACCAGGCAAATACTTTGTTAGTCAAATGATGAAGGTTGACATCATTAATAATGTCACATGGATGTCATGTAACAGTAATACAATGTGATTGAGGACATGTCACCTCTGTGGTGTGCTTATCCATCCATAGGCCAGTGTAATCAGGATGAAAAGCATCAGGCAAACATGTGTGATATTATGGGATTAGAAGATATCCCATAAAACACTTGCTCAGTGCTTGTCAAGACCATAAGGTCATTAGAAACAAAGAAAACCTGTCATACACCAAAAGAAACTGGAAACACATGACAGGTAAATAAATATGGTATCCTGAATTGGAACCTAAAACACAAAGAGCACATTAATGGCAATACTAGTAAAATCCATGTAAAGTATTGAGTTTAGATAATAACAATGCACTAACATTAGTTTTTTAGTTTTGACAAGTGTCCTGTAGTAATAAAGGATGTTAACTGTGAGAGAAACTGAATGAGGGCTGTATAGGAATTCTCTGTACTTTCTTTGCAGATTTTCTATAAATCTGAAATTCACAAATAAAAATTTTAGTAAAATAATGTTCTGGTTTATTTAGCAGTTTGCTAGTTAAATAATTACCTACACACATAATTTATGAGAATGTAGGAGTCCCCTCTAAGGAATTGAGGATCACTTTTCTGTATACTGTCCATCAATATTATAAACTTCATGCATAATTGGAGAATCAGAAATACTAATGAATAATGATTTAGGTTTTAACTGTCCATCATAATCCTTTACAGCCTTCTGGTTTAAAGTAGATGGTTCTTTATTATGTATAACTATGTCATCTTAGATACATTCAAAAAACACTACTTTTGGCTTATTCAGTTTCCTACCCTCCTAAAGTCTCCACATTTGAACCATCTGTAAATGGAACATTTATTTTTACCCCTAAAAGTTGTCAAGTCATCTGAATATGATCTTTAATACAAATTGAAGAATGTGTTAAAGATATACAAAAAGAACATATTTTGCAATAAAACCTACGTGTTTGCAATCAATATTTTTGGATTTTTGAGTTGGAAGCCTTCATGTGTATAAAATATTTTTTAATTCTTGTGTGTATATATGTATATGAAATAAAGTTGTGATTATTTAAAACACATACATGGTACTTTTTGATACACTGTCAAACATAATGATTTTTTGTAGCTAAAATGGGGAAAATGATATAATTACATTGATATTTATGATGTTCTATAGGAGTTCAGAAAAGTGGAAAATATTTAGTACATTTTGTTTGATAGTACTCCTAGTATATAGAGTCTTACTGAGTTGTATGCAATTGCCTCTCAATGTCCTAGCCAGCTGTAACAGCTGTAATATACTTTGATCTATAAATTATAAAATAACTATCTACTTTAAAAAAAAAAAGGCTTTGTAAAAAAAATCGCATCTTGTTGAAAAGTCTGGGAATGACTAAAAGATTTAGAAAGATGCAGAATCAAGAGCGATAAAACAGCAATTTGTTACTAAATAGAGCTTTAAACAGTATATGAAACATACTTCAGGTTAGTCAGAAGAGGTCCTCTGAATTACACTGTGCATGCTTCCCTGAAATGAAACTGTATGTTATTGGTTAACCAGGATATTTAGCATAATCACTCTGCTAGACTGTGGTGGAGGGAGGTGATTATCACTGAGAACAGATGGGCAGGTCCACAGCACTGCCAGATTCTGCACAAGCTCCATTTATCGTTGGTTCTTGCTTTTTTCCTTCTGTGTTTTAAATTTTTTTAAAAAACATTGTATGTTCTAAAGAACTAGCTTCACAAAAGGCTGGTGGCTGATGATCTTTCAGCTAAGATTTCAAATGTAGAAGAAAGATTTAAAATGCTGTCACTGTGTATCTAAGAAGGATGGGGCAGATTTCATTTTACCCTGTAGTCTCCCTCAATGCATGCACGGATTTATCTGTACGCTAAGCTCTCTGCTCTGCATCTGTAGCTCCTTGTGGATTATATTGTCTCTGTGATCAGAAATGATTTTCTCGGATATGAACACCGTTTCTGGCTCCCCTAAAGTGCATCCTCCTAATGGGACCCGGTTTTACACTTTTCAAGTAAGTGTGCTTTAAATGGCTTCACTACTTAGGAAGTTAATATATTGTCAAACTTTTAATAAATGGCTATATAAAGGAAAAAAGACTTAAAAAGTATGGCAGTATTGAAGAGAATGTATGGAATGAATAATGTGCATGTCAGTTTGATCTGCTTTAAAATGTGGAAATATGATGGCATTAGGCATCTCTGTGAATTAAAACAAAAAATAGTGAACACAATTTTCCACAGGAATTTTTAAATCTGCTACAGTGTCATCCTTGAGAGTTTATGAGATATGTTGTGACTCCTGATATTGTTATTTATGGGTAAAATATGGTAAACATTGTAGAGTTACTTCCCTTGTGCATCACAGAAAGAGTAGAATTAAAACACATTTTATGAACTTTGCAAACTAAATCCTCTGGGCTCAGAAAAATATTTTGCATTTCATATACACATTTTAACATAATTCCTATTATTTAATTTTCTTATGTATATAATATAAAGGCAATAAACAATATAGGAGGTTTAAGAACCACATTCAGTATGCTTCCAATTTGAAATAGAATAGAAACTCATTAGGATGGAAGGTTTTCTGTGTTATCAAAAAGTCAAAATGATTTATAATGTAAATGTGAGTTAAAAACTGTTACCTACTAAATGTATTTCAGTTGCCTGTCAATAAATCAGCCATCAATCTAGAAAATGACTAGGTCTAAACTAAATCAGTTTCTATCTTATTTTTATCTTCAAATTGTATCTTTCGTTACTAAGGTTTACTTTGTAATTCAGTCATATTATCATTACATGAGAAAGGAACATGATATTCTTTTCTCTGTATATTTTACATTATGGAAACATAAACAGCCTGATATTTAATTATTTTGACTGTATAGTTATACCATACTTGGAAAAATAAGTATAAAGATTTAGAAAATTAATATAATAAAGGTAGTCAGAGTTTTTTTAAGGGAGCGCTAAATAAATGTACATCTGAATTATAAGTCTCTTGCCTTTGCAAATTGTAGGCAGTAGATATAATTACTCTTTCTCTCTCCTCTTTCTATACTTCTATTTTTAATCCTGTTGCCTTGTCTGTTTTACACTGATGTCTACTGATAGTGCAAGTCTGTGGTTTTACAAAATGTATTCTCTTCCTAGTGGTGATCTGCTTACTGTGACAGTGATTCAAAATGCAAGTGCCCTGGGGCTGTTGTACAGAATTATTACTTTTTTTGTCCTCTTCTCCTCTGTACACTGAGATATAAACACCTCTCACAATATCCTGCAGCTGGCTCTTTGGGTAGATTTTGACATTAGGTATTCTACTTCAGTCTCTTAAAGTTTAAGGGTCAGTGCATTCCATATGCTCGGTCATGACAGAGGCTTTTTACAATTCTTTCAGTAAAGATCTTACCAATACCTTTCTTGGCAGGTGACTTTCTTTGAAAACACACTGGAACAATTTTAAATACTCTCTTTTTGTTGATAATAACATTCTTGTTAAAACTCTAGGAATTCAGATAATATATAAATTTTGCCAAATATAAATTCTATTCACCTACATTTTTAATTTCCTAAAATATTTGCTCCTGAGGTCTGTAACAGACAATATGTGTTTAAGTTTTCATGTTTATCTTTTTGTTGCTGTTATTATTTGTTTTTACCTTTGGTGGAAGAAAGAAAGAAAGATGGTTTTTAAAGCACAAAGTTAAATGTTTATAGTAGTAAACTCTCATTTTTTTTCAAAGAAAAATATTAAATGATTATTAGAATTATACTAAATGATTATTAGAGTTATATATTGATTACAAAGAATTAAATGATTTTCTTACCTATATGCATTAACCTATATTGAGGCAACATATTTTCTTTGGTTGAAATACTGTAAAAACAAATGAGATGCTGTAAAGTAACAGACCATTTGTCAAAAACTATCTTGAGAAAATGATTAAATTTTCAAAAATGGTTCTCATTATGAAATGGCATAAATGTACTTCTAAAACGATTCTGCATCAAGGAGTTGGGATTTTAGTGCTTACTTCCTTAAAATTATTCTAGCACAAGAGTTAACATATGCAAATATATTTAAGAGCGCTGAGCATGAATAATACTGCATTTTAGTTCCATCTTCTCATTAAACATCCAAACTAACCTGTCATTTTTTTTCTGACATGGTATGCTATCGCATTTTAAGAGTAAGCTTTAGAGTGTATTTGACCTAAGTAGTTCAAAGGTGAAAAGGCAACAAATGAGTAGAAGGATATTCTTAGAACAGGACCTTGCTTTTCATTGCATCTTTAATTTAGACAAACATTCATACTTCTAAGCATATACATACGGTTTTTTGTATAGACTATGTAATACTTCATTTAAACTAATTCCTTTAAGTGTGAATCATCACTTTTGTATCACTGTGAATATACTTGTGCCTGCATTTTTCTATTTAGAGGTTCCTGGACCCTGGATGATGTCAGCACCCAGTTTGCACTGTGTGTCTAATGAGTGACTTCTCATCAAAAGTCAAGTTCTAGAGTGTAGTTTCTAAAATGCTTTTTAATTGACAAAAGTTAAAATTAAGCACTTCTAGAGGAAAATAATATTTGCAATACTTTTATGCATTAGAAGTGTCAATGTGTGGGACTCAAATATATACAAGTGGAAAACCTACTTTATGTATAAGCACAGTGAATTTTGTTACTTTTCTGTCCATAAAAATCATGTCTCAACATGGCTTTACATTTGTTCTTTCATAGCTTTATCTTTGCAAATAATACCATCTATTTTCTCTACTAATACTCCTGAGTGATTAATCACGATTCAATGTGTTCTTGCTCCCAGAGGTCATGGTCAACACCATGGCTCTCTTCATTTCCTAGAAATTAAATACCTCACCCACCTGTTTTCAAACCATATCTGCATAGTCCTAAACTTTCATGGGAGTTTGTCAATAGTTGCTAGCAACAATAGGGAAAAATATGTATCTTTATATTATATATATTTATATATATTTTTAATTGTACTTTAGGTCCTGGGGTACATATGCAGATCATGCAGGATTGTTGCATAGGTACATACATGGCACAGATGGCAATGTGTTTTGCTGCCTCCATCCCTTTGTCACCTATATCTGGCATTTCTCCCCATGTTATCCCTCCCCAACCTCCCCACCCCATACTGTCCCTCCCCTAGCTGCCCCCCAACAGATCCCAGTGTGTGATGCTCTCCTCCCTGTGTCCATCTGTTCTCATTGTTTAACACCCGCCTATGAGTGAGAACATGCTGTTTTTGACTTTCTGTTCTTGTGTCAGTTTGCTGAGAATGATGGTTTCCAGATTCATCCATGTCCCTACAAAGGATACAAACTCATCATTTTTTATGGCTGCATAGTGTTCTATGGCATATATGTGCCACATTTTCCTTGTTCAGTCTACCATTGATGGGCATTTGTGTTGGTTCCACGTCTTTGCCATTGTAAATTGTGCTGCAATGAATATACATGTTCATGTGTCTTTATAATAGAACAATTTATAATCCTTTGGGTATATACCCAGTAATGGGATTGCTAGGTCAAATGGAGTTTCTATTTCTAGGTCCTTGAGGAATCACCACACTGTCTTCCACAATGGTTGAGCTAATTACACTCCCACCAACAGTGTAAAAGTGTTCCTATTTCTCCACATCCTCTCCAGTATCTATTTTATATATATATATATATATATATATATATATATATATATATTAGGCAGCATCTCTCTCTGTTGCCCATGCTGGAGTGCAATGGCCCAATAAAGGCTCACTGCAGTCTCAGCCTCCCAGGCTCAAATGATCCTCCCACCTTAGCCCCTCAAGTAGCTGGGACTACAGGTACACACCACCACACCTGGCTACTTCTTTAATGCTCTGTAGAGATGGTGGTCTCACTATATTTTCCAGGCTGGTCTTGAACTCATGGGCTCAAGAAATCCTCCAGCCTAGGCTTCAGCCTGCGTCTGGGATTACAGGAGTGAACCACCTCACCAGGGCAAGAAATATTATTTTGAGGCTTATAAAGTTTCACTATTCTACATTTACATTTTTTATTTATGGGTGCTCTGTGAAAGCTTTCATAAATAACAACACACTGTGTTACTATCACATACAAAAGAAAATGAAGTTTGCAACCCATTTCTTCAAACCAAAGGATTAATTTCTGATAGAAATTTTATCCCCTGGACCCATAGACGAGTTATTTCATATATATATATATATATATACATGGTCATTTAATTCTAGCATTAATAAAATTATCTGTCAGAACTATATATAGAAGTGGTTAAGTCTTGATACTTACTGAAAACAAGAGAAAGAAGCTTTACTTTAAGTATGGAAACATAGTAACCTGCTGCTTCCATGCTTAAAATACTTCTCTTCTCCAATCATTTTGGCATCAGGCACTGATTTTGTAGAAGACAATTTTTCCATGAACCTGAGATGGAGAGGAGAGGGGATGGTTTTAGCATAAAACTATTCCACCTTAGATCAACAGGCATTAGATTTCCATAAGGTGAGTGCAACATAGATCCCTCACATGTACAGTTCACAATAGGGTTCACACTTCTGTGAGAATCTAATCCCACAGCTGATCTGACAGAAGGCAGAACTCAGGTGATAATGTGAGTAATGGGGTCAGCTGTAAATACAGATGAAGCTTTGCTCACTTGTCCACTGCTCACTTCCTGCTGTGCAGCTTGGTTCCTAACAGGCCATGGACCAGTACCAGTAGTTAGGACCTCTGCCTTAAAAGATAATATTATCTTTCCAGTTTGGCATAAAAAGTACTTCCTGATAAGGGAAACACACTCTACTTTTTTTCCTAGAAAGTTGTTTGCAACTTTGCCTCTTCACTCAAAATGCCCACTGGAAAATTTTTCTTAAAGTCTTATCTCAAATGCCACCTCCTTCATGAAGCCTTCACTCATTCTTGCACACTGTATTAAATGCCTTTTGTAAAAAAATCCTCTTTATTTGTCCATACCGCTACCAAAGCAAATTTTATGCTTGGTTATAATTCCCATGACCACTTTATTAAGCTGTGTCCCTAACACATGGATACCGACAATATTTCTGTAGGGTGGAAAATATATTTCAAAGATAAATGATTTACCTATTAAAATTTAACACAGAAAGCAACAAATTATTTTTCTTTTAAATATATAGGCAGTTAGTGAGACATAACTAGTAATAGCTACAGTATCAGATGTATAAATGTAAATTTGCTTATGTACCACGCAAATAAAATTCTTAAAAATATATAACAGATACATGAGTTACAAAGGAAAATTTTTAATTTTATTGTTTTTTAATATTTCTATGACAGCTAACCAAAGTTTTTTTTGAGGATTTTCTTTAATACATCTTTACCATTTTTTATTAATTTGCATTTTCTTGTTTTATCAAGAGAACTTTATAAATTTTTATTTGTATATAGTTTCATACTTGGCAGATAGGATTATCACCTGAAATAGGAGACTAATATGTAAACTGAAAACCTCAATTGCATGAACTTTTACTCAAAAAGATACGTAGTGGGGCATGATGGCTCATGCATGTGTTCTCAGCACTTTGGGAGGCCAAGGCAAGTAGATCTCCTGAGCTCAGGAGTTCAAGACCAGCTTAGGCAACCCAGAGAAACCCCATCTCTACCAAAAATACAAAAAAAGTAGCCAGGCATGGTGATGCACATGTGTAGTCACATCTACTTGGGAGACTGAGGTGGGAGGATTGCTTGAGCCTGCGAGGCAGAGGTTGCAGTGAGCTGAGTTTGCACCAGCATATTTCAACCTGGGTGACAGAGTGATATTCTGTGTATTAGTCCGTTTTCATGCTGCTGATTAAGAAATACCCAAGACTGGGAAGAAAAAGAGATTTAGTAAACGTACAGTTCCCTGTGGCTGGGGAGGCCTCACAATCATGGTAGAAGGCAAGGAGGAGCAAGTCACATCTTAAGTGGATGGTGGTAGGCAAAGACAGAGCTTTGCAAAGAAATTCTTGTTTTTAAAACTATCAGATCTCATGAGACTCATTCACTATCATGAGAACAACACAGGAAAGACCCACACTTACAGTTCAATCATGCCATGTTGTGAGTTCCTTTCACAACACATGGGAATTGTGGGAGTTACAATTCAAGATGAGATTTGGGTGGGGACACAGTCAAACCATAATTTTCCACACCAGACCCCACCCAAATCTCATATTATCAAATTTTAAAACCAATCATGCCTCCCCAACAGTCCCCCAAAGTCTTAACTCATTTCAGCATTAACTCAAAAGTCCACAGTCCAACATCTCACCTGTGACAAAGCAAGTTTCTTCCACCTATGAGCCTGTAAAATCAAAAGGAGGTTGCTTACTTTCTAGATACAATGAAGGTATAGGCATTGGGTAAATACAGACATACCAGATGGGATAAATTGACCAAAACAAAGTGGCTATAGGCCCCATGCAAGTCCGAAATCCAGCAGGGCAGTCAAATCTTAAAGCTCCAAAATGATCTCCTTTGACTTCATGTCTCAAATCCAAATCGTGCTGATGAAAGAGGTGGGTTCCCATGATCTTGGGCAGCTCTGACCCTGTGGCTTTACAGGTATAGCCTCCCTCCTGGCTGCTTTCATGGGCTAGTGTTGAGTGTCTATGGCTTTTCCAGGTATATGGTGCAAGCTGTCAGTGGGTCTACCATTCTGGGGTCTGGAGGACAGCAATGGCCCTCTTCTCATGGCTCCACTAGGCAGTGCACCAGTAGGGACTGTGTGGGGCTTCTGACCCCACATTTTCCTTCTGCACTGCCCTAGCAGAGGTTCTGCATAAGGATCCCACCCCTGCAGAAAACTTCTTCCTGGACATCCAGGCATTTCCATACATCCTGTTAAATCTAGGCAGAAGGTCCCAAACCTCAGTTCTTGACTTCTATGCACCTGTAGGCTGAACAGCACCTGGAAGCTGCCAAGGCTTCAGACTTCCAGCTTCTGAAACAACAACCTGAGCTGAACTTTAGCCCCTTTTAGTCACAGCTAGGGCAGATGGGACATAGGACATGAAGTCCTTAGACTTCACACAGCAGAAGGACCCTGGGCCCAGCTAATGAAACTACTTTTTCTTCCTAGACCTCTGGGCCTGTGATAAGAGGGGCTGCCACAAAGTCTCTGTGACATGCTCTGGAGACATTTTCCCCGTTATCTTGGTGATTAACATTCAGCTCCATGTTACTTATGCAAATTTCTGCAGCCAGCTTGAATTTCTCCTCAGATAATGGGATATTCATTTCTATAGCATTGTCAGGCTACAAATTTTTCAAACTTTTATACTGTTTCCCTTTTAAAACTAAATGCCTTTAACAATACCCAAGTCACTTCTTGAATGCTTTGTTGCTTAGAAATTTCTTTCACCAGATACCCTGAATCATCTCTCTCAAGTTCAAAGTTCCACAAATCTTTAGGGCAAGGGCAAAATGCCACCAGTCTCTTTGCTAAAACATAACAAGAGTCACTTCATACTTTGCTCTAGTTTCCAACAAGTTCCTCATCTCCATCTGAGACCACCTCAGCCTGGATTTCATTGTTCATATCATTGTCAGCATTTTGGTCAAAGTCATTCAACAAGTCTCTAGGAAGTTCCAAATTGTCCCACATTTTCTTGTCTTATTCTGATCCCTCCAAACTGTTCCAACCTCTGCCTGTTACCCATTTCCAAAGTTGCATCTACATTTTTGGGTATCTTCAGCAACACCCCACTCCTGATATCAATTTACTGTATTAGTTCATTTTCATACTGCTGATATAGACATACCCAAGACTGGGAAGAAAAACAGGTTTAATGGACTTACAGTTTCATGTGTCTGGGAGGCCATACAATCATGGCAGGAAGCAAGGAAGAGCAAATTACATCTTAAATGGATGGTGACAGGCAAAGAGAGAGATCTTGTGCAGGGAAACTTCCATTTAAAAACCATCAGATCTGGTGAGACTCATTCACTATCATGAGAACAGCACAGGAAAGACCCACCCCCATAATTTGATTACCTCCCATCGGTTTCTCCCATAACACATGGTTATTGTGAGAGTTACAATTCAAGATGAGACTGGAGTGGGGACACAGCCAAACCATATTACTCTTTCTCAAAAAAAATTTTTTTTTTTTTGAGATGGAGTTTCGCTCTTGTTACCCAGGCTGGAGTGCAATGGCGCGATCTTGGCTCACCGCACCCTCCGCCTCCTGGGTTCAGGCAATTCTCCTGCCTCAGCCTCCTGAGTAGCTGGGACTACAGGCACGTGCCACCATGCCCAGCTAATTTTTTGTAGTTTTAGTAGAGACGGGGTTTCACCATGTTGACCAGGATGGTCTTGATCTCTTGACCTTGTGATCCACCCGCCCCGGCCTCCCAAAGTGCTGGGATTACAGGCTTGAGCCACCGCGCCCGGCCTTCAAAAAATTTTAAAAAATGGAAAGAAAAGAAAAAAAGCTACTACTGGTAATTAATATATGGATATCATCATATCTGCGTAATCAAATGAGGGTGAGGTAATTCTGGCTTTTTATCAAATAACTGGATTTTGTATATTCTACCATTTTGTTGCTACTTAAGAGTCTGCCATTATTTTTCTGTTATTTGGAGGACCTTATAACTTCTTATGGTTGATAAATTTTAAATCCATCTGGAAATACCTCTCAGAATGCTTGGCATGTGTTATGTGTTCAAATAACATTAATGAAGGCAAAGTAACACTATGTAGCTGTTAAAAAAAGGCCTCCTAGCTCCAAGATTACCTAGTAATATAGGCAGAGTTTGCCAGCTAAGTGAGAGAATCAGTATTTTGCTCTGTCACCCAAATGTATGCATTCATGCTTACGAATGGCAGAATTAACACAAGAGATGTTTAACATAACTAGGACATAACCTAGAGACAGGAAATGGCTAAAAATAAAGTATGCAGCCTCCAAAATGTAAAGATAGCTTTGACTGTAATCCCTAAGACCTTGGACTTTGGATTTAAGAATTTTCAGTGAGGAGCAAAAAAAAAGCTTGGATTTGCTGTTAGAATACTGGATGTCTCCTTGGATGGCAATTGAACTAGAACAGAGGGAACAATTCAGTTGATTTCAAAAAATATTTAAAATTCAGATGTGTTGTCATGATTTCCCACTTTATAGATGAAAAAATGAAGGTCCATAAAAGGTACCCAAATTATCTTTAATAATGCAAAGAGGGAGGAATATAGTTTTTGTCTGTATCCAGAGCTATCAATCATAAAAATCCATGCTTGTTCCATTGTATTGTGCTGCCTAAGCTGTTAATTATTACATGTAGAAACAAAGTATTCTAAATTATGTAATTTCCAATACTGTTGATCTATTAGGGCAGACATTTATAGAAATTTGTTTCCATAACTTCAAAGCATCGCCTCACTGGATTTTTAAATTTAAGGCTTTTATTTAACTATACCCCTTCATTTAATCTTTACTGATAGTATTTTCCTAGTTGGAAATACGTATTTGTTATAATCAAATTGCCAATAAACTTATATCCTGAAATTGTACTGAAAGATATAAAGGGCAGCTCAAGGAAAAAGTCTTTTCTAAATACACACCTTTGTTTATTTAATAATTCTCTCTATATCAGTGATGCCAACCATAGAAATAAATGAGTAGCCCCTGAGGCTCCAGATAGGAAATGATGACTCTTCCATTTGCAGAAGTGTCTACCTCATAGATGTTAGCTAGGCTATATGTTACATGAGGGCAGGTGCTATGTCATTATTCTCATTGTTAATTCACCAACATCAAGCAGAGTGCCTAATACAAAACTTTGATTAGTAAATAGGTGATGAGTTGAATTACAAATTAAAAAGAAGAATGTCTTACTTAGTGTCATATAGTTATTGCTGGTATTCTGATTTAGTGCAACCTCCTTAAAATCACATTAATGCTTTTAAAATTCTCAGATTTGGGTATACAAATAGATTTCACTTATACTTACCTAAAATAACCCTATGTTTCAGGTGTCATCTGGAGGGGAAAGAAATTAGAAATAGTGAAATGACTTGGGAAGTCCTTGAGGTAAACTATTTAATGCACTGATTACAGTCCAGGTGGTTAGAAAGAACCCAATAAAGCAGCTACTAAAAACAGTGGCTACATCCAGAGGTATGGTCCATAAATCACACTAGAGGTGACAGGGACATGAACTAATAAAAGTTAAGAATAAATGGGAAAATATTTAATGGATATAATAAGTATAATTCACAAGAATTTATTAAGTTACTGAATATTATAAGAGGCAAAAGAGGAAGGGTTGGGTTTACCTCTAAAGCGTCTGGTGAAGGAGAGAGGCATATAGAGAAGGAACAGTTTGTAAGACAATATCTTAAGTTCAGTTTTGAACAGATTAATTAGACAGGATTTTTGAACAGATTAATTTCAGTTTTGAACAGTTTTGAACAGTTTTGAACAGATTAATTAGTCAAACCTGTGGAAACACAGGTTTGACTCTCAGGAAAGAGGTCTGTCTGAGTAGTAGATGTAAATGTGTGAGACATCTGCTTGCTGGGTAGAGGAAGCTATGGAAGTAGATAAAATGACTTTGACAGAGAATGAGGAGATTGGGAGTAGAGTGGGGAATGAAACCCTTGGATACACTCACTTACACAGAATTATCATCATTTTGTATGCTTGGTTTGCTTTGTAAACACATTTTGGAAGTTTGTTTTCCTTATTACCCAACTTGAATACTACCCTTGAAGCTAATTAAAGTTAGATACTCCTGACTCCCAAATGTGTGTATTAGCTTTATTTTATAAATATTTTTTGGAAGCTTACATTCCCATTCAAACCACATCGTGGAACCTTATCCCTGAAACAATTCCAGATAAATTCTTCTGTTCTTATACTTACCATAATAAAGATAGGTGTATTACATTATTATACTACATTTAGTTTTTCACTTTTCTCTCTGTACCGCTAGACTGGAAATTCCTAGAGAACATATAATTTATTTCACTTAACTGCTCACTTCTTTATTGACAGCTAGCATAATGCCTGTCATTTAGAAAGTTCCTATGCCTTTTGAATAAATAAATGAATTCATATGTAAATGTTAGAATAAAATTGGTTTTCTAACTTTGACACACCTTGTTGTAAGTCACCATTATGCCAGACTTTAACAATGTAGAGCAAACCACCAGGTCTCTGCACTCAAGAATCTTAGAGTTGCATAATATTCCATGGTGTATATGTAACACATTTTAAAATGATGAGTTCGTGTCCTTTGTAGGGACATGGATGAACCTGGAAACCATCATTCTCAGCAAACTGACACAAGAGCAGAAAATCAAACACCGCATGTTCTCACTCATAGGCGGGTGTTGAACAATGAGAACACATGGACACAGGAAGGGGAACACTACACACTGGGGTCTGTTGTGGGGAAATGGGGGAGAGGTGGGGAGGTGGGGAGAGAGAGCATGGGGAGAAATGCCAGATATAGGTGAAGGGGAGGAAGGCAGCAAATTACACTGCCATGCGTGTACCTATGCAACAATCTTGCACGTTCTTCACATGTACCCCAAAACCTAAAATACAATAAAAAATTTTAAAAATAAAAATAAAAAAAATAATAAAATAAAAAAAAAGAATCTTAGAGTTGCCCCAAGGAAAATTATCAAAAAGTCACAATAGCATATCATTCTGTTCTCTAGAGTAGACAGAGAAACAGAGATGCTTTGACTTTAAATATACACACAGACAATATTATTATAAAATGGGTAATTTCATTACATAAGTATATCTCCAAATCCACTTTTAATTCTCATTCATAGTTAACTTTCCTACCATTTTTATTGCTTTTCCTTTTATATTTTCAAAATATTTTACACATAACAAGGATTATTCTAAAAAACTTCATATTAGTTAACAGCCTTCATGTATTAGTCTGTTTTTACACCGGTATAAAGAATAATACCCAAGACTAAATAATTTGAGGAAAAGATGTTTGACTCACAGTTTCACATGTTTAGGGAGGCCAGAGGAAACTTATAATCATGATGGAAGGGGAAGCAGGCACGTTTTACATAATGGCAGGCAAGAGAGAGAAAGTGTGAAGGAGGAACTGTCAAGGATTTATACAACCATCAGATCTCATGACAACTCACTATCACAAGAACACCATGGAGGGAACCACCACCATAATCCAATCACTTCCCTCCCTTGATACATGGGAATTTACAGGTCCTTCCCTCTACATGTGGAGATTACAATTTGAGATGAGATTTGGATGGGGAAAACAGAGCCAAACCATATCAATAACCATTAGAATTAAATACATCATTCAAAAACAGATTCTAGTATTTGAGTGTAACTATAAGCAAGTGAAATTATTTCTCTAGTTTTACTTTCCTAAACCATTGGAAAAGAATAAAAGTATTTAAGTCAAAGGTTATTCTGAATGCTTAATGGAATAATTATAAAATCTTTTATTAGTATTTACTTCCAATAAAGATGGAACTCAATCAAGGTTAGCTATTGTTTTAAAAAAGTTATAGTAAGCTAAGTCTAATTTATCATTGAAAAAAGAAAACTACATTTTGTAAATTTAGTGCAGCCCAAGTGTACGACATTTACTAAGCCTAGAGTAGTATACAGTAATGTCCTAGGCCTTCACATTCATTTACTCATTTACACATTCATTTACCCACTGATTCACCCAGAACAATTTACAGTCCTTCTAACTCTATTTATGGTAAATGCCCTATACAGATGTACCACTTTTTATTCTTTTTTTTTCTTTTTTTTCAAGACAGAGTCTCACTCTGTCACCCAGGCTGGCGTGCAGTGGCGTGATCTCAGCTCACTGCAACCTCCACCTCCTGGGTTCAAGTGATTCTCCTGCCTCAGCCACCCAAGTAGCTAGGACTACAAGCACACGCCATCACACCCATCTAATTTTTGTATTTTTAGTAGAGATGGCGTTTCACCATGTGGCCAGGCTGCTCTCAATCTCCTGACCTAGTGATCCGCCCGCCTCAGCCTCCTAAAGTGCTGGTATTACAGGCATGAGCCACTGCGCCCAGCCTTTATTCTTTTATACTGTATTTTTACTGTAAGTTTTATATAGGTCTTTTATATATATATAAAAAAAAAAAAAAAAAAAAAAAAAAAAAAAAAAAAAAAAAAAAAAACAATGCCCATAGTACTCAGTACAGTAACATGCTGTACAAGTTTGTGGCCTAGGAACAATACGCTATGCCATATAGCTGAGAAGTGTAGTAGGCTGCACCATCTAGATTTGTGTATTGTGTCATGATGTTCACATGACAAAATCACCTAATTACGTACTTCTCAGAACACAACCCAGTCATTAGGTGTTGTATAACTGTAGCATACTTTTATCCTATATTTATGTCTTCTTTGGCACATTATTATTCTGCCCTTTTTAAGATGATCCAGCCCTGAGGTTATAATACGAGTATAAGA